TGAGAGTGGGCGCTTGGAAAGGATGTTAGTGAGAGCAGTTTGGGGTTTTGAAGAAGGACTTTGGGTCAGTCTTTTGTTTAGTATTCAGGGTAGCTATAGAGAAATATGGCCCGAATACTGTGGGGAGCAGCACCCCGTTAGTGGTCTGTTCTTTTCCTTAAGGAAGGCTAGTTCCAGTCTTGGCTAGAATCCTAAGGGGGATTTTTGTGGGAGTTACTTTCAGAGATTCATTTCCTGAAGTAATTTTCTGTGTGGAAACTTTAAGACTTGCAACCCAGAAGTTTTTAAAATCTCTTCTCAAACGTAACCACAAGCTTTGTATGCCAGATTTTTACTGAAACCATCAAGCATCTGTACCTGAAATACCCAAGTCTGTTCAAATAAAGTTCTTGTTATTTTTATCAACTTACATCAGCCTCAGTGTGAATACCTTTGTGGTAAAAGTGTCATACAAGTCAGCTTTTTACCACCCTTTAAGAAGACTTTAGTGACACAGAGTGTGTTACTGAACAACCTCTCAATTGTACCTCAGCCTGTTCATTAGTAATATGGTGGCAGCGGACACCTTTTAAAGAATTCTTTTAAGTCCCACAGTTCCAGTGGTTCCCAGTTCCTAACTTCTAAATATACAGTTGGTTTCAACAACCATTAATCCCTCTATACTTTGGTGAGCTAATCTGTAGTGGTGTCATCATTATAATTTGGTAGGCTGCTGTGTGGTCGTTATAATTTGGTTGAGCAGCGGTGCGATGTGTTATAAGTAGCCAGGTATTCCTTGAAGGCTTCTTTACGTAATTTGGGCTGCATTCCCCCAGTTGCTTTGTCTCCTCCATATTGCTGAGGTTGAACATTGATTTATTTTATTTATTTATTTATTTTGCGTACTTCTACCCCACCCTTTTTAACCCCCGAGGGGAGACTCAGGGTGGCTTACAAAAGGCACAATTCGATGCCTACACAATAATACAGATAAACATATATAAACAGCAATTAAAACAGTTATAACAGTTAAAAACAATCAATTATATATCACAGTCAATAAAATCAATCTCATGCTCAGCATTCGCCAGCTCAGAATCCATAAATTCATTCCACATTGTCCATTCCTATCAGTCGTCGTTGTCCTTTATTTATCTGCCAGATTACCCAAACGCCGACAGCATTGTACAGCAATGCACCAAATCAGTGGGACCACCAATACCAATCTATGCTGATGATCGTGCAATCACCGCTCAAGCTGAGGATGATGACCTGGGAATATCTATTGAGAGAGGCGGATGGCGGAAACAGAAGAAGAACGGCCTGCCTCAGGGGAGCGTGCTTGCTCCATCCATGTTTAACATTTGCACAAATGACCAGCCACTGCCAGAAAGGACAAAGAGTTCCATCTATGCTGATGATCGTGCCATCACCGCTCACGCAGGGAGCTTTGAAATGGCCGAACAGAAGCTCTCCGAAGCTCTAGGTGCTCTTACTGCCTCTACAGGGAAAACCAGCTGATCCCTAATCTATCTAAAACACAGACATGTGCCTTTCACCTTAAGAACAGACAAGCATCCCGAGCTCTGAGGATTACCTGGGAAGGAATCCCACTGGAGCATTGCAGCACACCCAAATACCTGGGAGTCACTCTGGACCGTGCTCTGACCTACAAGAAGCACTGCCTGAACATCAAGCAAAAAGTGGGCGCTAGAAACAATATCATACGAAAGCTGACTGGCACAACCTGGGGATCACAACCAGACACAGTGAAGACATCTGCCCTTGCGCTTTGCTACTCTGCTGCTGAGTATGCATGCCCAGTGTGGAACACATCTCACCACACTAAAACAGTGGATGTGGCTCTTAATGAGACATGCCGCATTATCACGGGTGTCTGCGCCCGACACCACTGGAGAAATTGCACCACCTGACATCCACCGGGAAGCAGCAGCCAATAGTGAAAGGACCAAGGCAGAGACATCTCCAGCTCATCCCCTGTTTGGGTCTCAGCCAGCACGTCAACAACTTAAATCGAAATAGTTTTCTTAGATCTACAGAGACACTCGCTGGAACACCTCAGCAAGCGAGAGTCCAAAAGTGGCAGGCTCAAACCCAGAACCTCAATCGATGGGTGATTCCAAACGAGAGACTCCCCCCCTGGGCACACGGAGGGGGATGCGTTCGGACAGATCATTGGGTAATATTTCACTCGTTCGCATGTGCAGTGATTTGTGGGGTGCTTGGGGAGACCCAAGGTGTCTATTGCCTGTGACACACTGTACAAACAACTTAGTGTGTTCCTTATTTCAAGACCAGGAGTGGCTTCCCAACCCCGGATCGGTGAGCCTGCTTTTGGATTCCATCTCGCACGCTGTCCTCCCCACGGTTGTTATTGTACCTTGCGCCTTCTTTCTTCCCAGCGCTTGTTCGGGGACTCTGACAAAAAGATCCGAGTTGGATTTGGGTGCTGTACAAATGTTGCCGTCACGAACTTTGGGCCAGCGCTGCCATTCGGTTATTTACAGCTCCTTTCAGTAGGCCGGTTCTTTGTTTTGGGTCTTTTCAAATATATATGGAAAGAGTTGAGAAGCTTTTTGGTTTTGTTTTGCTGGACAATGGAGCTTTGAGCAGGCCTGTCCTGTGCCCGCGGAGGGGGTGCCGCAGTCTTCAATGAAGCCACTTGTTTCCTTCCAAGGCTCCCGCGGCGTCGTCGCTCTTCAAAAGCAAGGCTGCAGGAACACCCGCTGGCGCGGAGGCAAAGCGCTCAAAGGGAACAAGAGGGCTCTTTTCAGCCGCTTCCCAGCTCCCATGAAGAGCCGCCGTGGTCCTCCTCAAAGCCCCTTTTGTTCCTGGATAATTGAGAGTTTCCCAAAATGGATCGAGATGGATAGATAGAATCCTAGAGTTGGAACAGATTCCAAGGGCCATCCCGTCCAACCCCCAGCCAGGCAGGAACGCACCATCAAAACACCCCCGGCAGATGGACATAATAATATCTATACAGGGGCGGTTCAACCCTTACGCAAAGTAAGCATTCGCGGTAGAGTTGATGTTGCCCAGGGGTGCTCTTGAGGCGCTCTTGGAGGGAAATAGACCTTGACATATGCGAGTTGTAGTTACGGGGATGTATAGTTCACCTACAATCAAAGAGCATTCTGAACTCCACCAATGATGGAATTGAACCAAATAGGGCACACAGAACTCCCACGATGAATAGAAAATATATATCAGTGATTGGCTGGGGAGGGGTCACCAAAATACTGTTTGCGTACCGTTGAAAATTACCTAGGGAAAATAGACCTTGACATATACACGTTGTAGTTACTGGGATGTATAGTTCACCTCCAATCAAAGAGCATTCTGAACTCCACCAGTGATGGAACTGAACCAAGTATGGCACACAGAACTCCCACGACGAACAGAAAATATAGATCAATGAGGTTGGGGGGGGGGGGGCCAAAATACTGTTTGCGTACCATTGAAAATTACCCAGGGCTGCCTCTGTATCTATACATATAGAAATGCTCTGTCTGTAATGAGTACCTTAAAAACAAAAAATTATGGGGTCAAATGACCCCAAATTTGGCAACAAAAGTCATTGAGAGTACTGCAAGTCCCATCATCAGTGGTCCGTCCTCCCCCACACCTCACCAGAATGTTGAGTTGGCCATGGGGGGTCTCTGTGCCAAGTTTGGTGTTATTGGTAATCGGATGTGTGTCGCTGTGGTCTCAGGAAGTGAGTGAAGGTACTGTAAGTCCCATCATCCATGGTCCATCCTCCTCCAAACAGCACCAGGATGTAGAGTGGTCATGGGGGCTCTGTGTGCCAAGTTTGGTCTTGATGAGTCATTGGATGAGGGTTGCAGCGGTCTCGGGAAGTGAGTGGATGTACTGCAATCCCATCATCAGTGGTCCATCCTCCCCCAAACCTCACCAGGACATAGAGTGGGTCATGGGAGCTCTGTGTGCCAAGTTTGGTCTTGATCAGTCATGGGTGAAGCTTGCAGTGGTCTCAGGAAGTGAGTGGAGGTACTGCAAGTCCCACCGTCCATGGTCCATCCTCCCACAAACCACACCAGGGTGTAGAGTGGAGCACGGAGGCTCTGTGTGACAAGTGTGGCCTTGTTCACTCATTGGATGAGGGTTGCAGCAGTCTTGGGAAGTGAGTGAAGGTACTGTAAGTCCCATCAAAGGGGGTCCGTCCTCCTCCAAACAGCACCAGGCTGTAGAGTAGGTCATGGGGGCTGTATGTGCCAAGTTTGGTCTTGATCAGTCATTGGATGAGGGTTGCAGCAGTCTTGGGAAGTGAGTGAAGGTACTGCAAGTCCCATCATCAGTGGTCCATCCTCCCCCAAACCTCACCAGGATGTAGAGTGGGTCATGGGGGCTCTGTGTGCCAAGTTTGGTCTTGATCTGTCATTGGTGGGGGCCACAGTGGTCTGTGGTTGCCCAAGTGTTTTAAAGAGTACAAATCCCATAATCCATGGTCCACCTCCCCCAAACCGCACCAGGACATAAAGTGGGCCATGGGGGTTATGTGTGCCAAGTTTGGTCCTGGTCCGTCGCTCATGCACGTCACAGTGGCCTGTGAAAGTGGCAGCCAATAAGAACCCTGCCACATACATACATACATACACACATACACACATACATACAAACATTCTCTTTTATTTTATATATATAGATATATTATATAGTGAATATATTTATTATATATATAGATATAATATATAATGTATATATTAGTGGGAGCAGAGTTGCACATATTGTAGCACCGTGGTTGTGCATTGTACAAGAGCACTGAGTCATTGACACCTGTGGTACAATGTTAATAATTTTGCAATTTTGCATGGTTCCAGGTAAGCATGTATATTATGGTACACTGTTTGGAGGCTGGGTTGACTACATAAGTCATGAGTGCTCTTGCAAAGGATATCCTGAATGATTGAGCAACCCATTTCCACTCGTGAAGACGAACACACCAGAGCAACATCCCTCTTGTTTGTTTGTATTTTCAGGTGCAGCTGAGCATGAAGATTCCATGCAAAAGGTATGGGCCCCATCCTCTGGGAATATCAATTTCAACTGCTTTCCTTGTCAAGCAAAGTCTTAGCACGTTCCGGTTTTGGGAAAACAACTCAGCACCTGAAGAAACTAATGAGCATATAGATAAGAGGGCGGAAATTAGTCAAAACAGACAGGCCGAGCAATGCCTTCGGCATTCTGCCAGGCTTCAACAGAAGAAGATATGGGCTGCTCAAGGAAAGCGAAACCGGTTTCTGTTTTACTTGGAAAGGCTCTGAGTAGAACAAGTCCAGTTCACAGCCTTGTTGACAAGAGGGCAAAGTAGGCATCAGTGGTGTCCAACCTTTGGTCCTCCAGGCGTTTGGGACTCCAACTCCCGAAAGCCATGGCCAGCTTGATTTTGATTGATTGAACCAAATGCGAGCCTCAAACAGGACGCAGGAAATCTAAATGGCGTTTGGGATATTGAATGATTGTAATCAGGAAATTGTGGGGAAATTGCTTACTTGAACTATTTTGATAAACAACTGATCAAAGTATCATATGTTCAGGATGAAAGGGAATAGAGACAGGATGCTGTTTGGATGTGTGAAATGGACTTGCAAAACCTATAACAATCATTTGCCAGCTTGGCCAATGGGAATGGATTGTGGGAACTGAAGTCCAAAACATTTGAAGGAGCAACGGTTGGGCATCACTGGGATACATCAAAAGACTACTTAAAGAAGGAGTTCCTTGACCCTGGGACTTGTTGGTGTGCTCCACAGCCTTCTAGCGATGGTAATGGGTCCATGACAGAGAAGGTTGGTGTAGTGGTTTGAGTGTTGGAAGAAGACTATGGAGACGAGGGTTCAAGTCCCACTCAGACAGAGCAAACCACAACCCCAGTTCAGATGGCCTATGTTTTGAAGACTCAGGATCTTCCTTTGGTGCCAAAAGAACCGGTTTGAAGGCGCTTGGGATCTCCTCAGTGTTATCCAGGACGATCTGGACATAAAGCATGAGTCCCAAGGGTCAAAAACCTCAGAACTGGTGCTAAGAGGTAACTTAAATCAGGGTCCTTTAGAATCAAGTCTTTAACTCACGTCCATGTGGTAGGAACTCTGATGGCAGAATTAAAAGAAGAAAAAGGAAGTTCTCCCCTCCTGCAGGAAGAGGTGGAGCCAAACAGTACTGATTGACAGCTACAAGCAACCAATCCATACAACTATACATAAGCAGGGTAAAAGGGGCAGGATTAAGCATGAACAACAGTTTAAATCTTACAACTAACAGTTCTATACATAGGTGGCACCACTCACGCTGTATCAGAAAAGGTGGGTGGAAGAGAAGGAGGGAGGATAGAAGGAAGGAGAGGAGGGAAGGGGGAGGGAAGGAAGGAGGAGGAAGAGAGGGAAGGAAGAGGGAAGGAAAGGGAGAGGAAGGAAGGAAGGAAGGAGAGAGAAAGGAAGGAAGGAAGAGAATGGAGGGAGGGAGGAAAGGAGAAGGAAGAGGAAGGAAGGGAGGAAAGAAAGGAAGGAAGGAGGAGGAAGAAGGAAGGAAGAGGAAGGAAGGAAGGGTGGAAGAGAAGGGAAGGAAGAAGGAAGAAGGGAAGAGAGAGGGGAAGGAGGAAAAGAGGGAAGGAAAGAAGAGGGAGGGAGGAAAGAGAGAAGGAAACAGAGACGGAAGGAAAGGATGATGAGAGAGGAGGGCCTGAGGAAAGAGCCCAAGGGGCCATATTCAGCCCCCGGGCCTGGGTTCCCCATACCTGCTTTCGCTGGAAACAGTGTGAAGACTTGCCTAGAGCACAATAGCAAGAGTCAGCTCACCCCAGTTTGCCTTCTTCCCATAATGTTTGATATTTGGGGCCAAAAGGTGGTAAAAGCTGTGTGCCCCCCCCCCCCCAAACTGGCACCGGATCCATCTTGCCAGCGTTCTTGATACAAAATTCTGTACCTGCTGCCTGAATGTTTGGAGAAGAGCATGGAAGAGAGATCTGGCCAGTTCCCAGAACTCAATACCGGCTCCCTCTGCTTAATTCCAGCTTTTCAAGAGGGATTTCTTGAGTTTTTTCCTTCCGCATCCTGGAAGCTCTGTTTCATAACAAGGCCCTAATTGGCTTCCAGCTGTTCTCCCTTGGAGACACGTATTGATCCCTTTGAAAGAACATGCAGACGAAAGAAGGGCCATTAGGGTTTACTAAAAGCACTTTTTATTGGAGTAGATTGTGTTGGCAGCAAGTGTTTATTGAAAAGACCAGGTTTAATTAGGAGAGCCAGAGAAGACTCAAGGCAAGGAGGCCGAGAAAGTCTTGGACTCGGGGCGGAAAAGTGGTGGGGAGCCCTTCTGCCACTTGGTTCCACAAAAGCGACTCCAAGATCAGGTCCTGAAAGACCAACTCAACCAAAGAGGCACACCAAAGCGAAAAGGCGTGTATTTAATATACCTAATCCTATATACCTGACTAATTAGACTTGTGCGTGGATTTTGTTTCTTCCGTTTCCTTTGGTACTTTGGGAGCCCGTAACTGTAAGGGCGCTCCTGGGACTAAAACCCGCCCAACACGAAAGCAAACGGGAGCCGATCTCAGCTCCTTCTCTGCTTTTCGGCATCACAGTTTAATCTTCCTTATTAATCCTCCAACAAACAACAAGAAAACCCCAATTCCCTGAAAACTACTACCAGTTAACTCTCTTCTTCCAGGAGGTCATTACTCTTCCCTCCCTGGAAGTGGGAAGCCTCCTTAAAGTGCCTTGGAAAGAGTGCAGGCCCAGGAGAGGAAGTGCGCACATGCCTGCCTGGAGTACCTCTCCTCTAGAGTAGACCACTTTAAAAGCACGCCTCCTTAAAGTGCACATGCCTGCAGCCGAGCACCTCTCCTCTAGAGTAAGAAACAGTTTTAAGAATTTGCCTTCTTTAAGTGCCTTGGAAAGAGTGCTGCAGCCTAGTAGTAGAATCATAGAATCATAGAATCCAAGAGTTGGAAGAGACCTCCTGGGCCATCATCCAGTCCAACCCCATTCTGCCAAGAAGCAGGAATATTGCATTCAAATCACCCCTGACAGATGGCCATCCAGCCTCTGTTTCAAAGCTTCCAAAGAAGGAGCCTCCACCACACTCCCTGGGGGGCAGAGAGTTCCACTGCTGAATGGCTCTCACAGTAGTAGTAGTAGTAGTAATAATAATAATAATAACTGCAGTACCTCTCCTTTAGAGTAGACAGCTTTAAGAGCAAGCCTCCTTAAAGTGCACATGCCTGCAGCTGAGCGTCTCTCCTCTAGAGTAAGAATAAGAATTTGCCTTCTTTAAGTGCCTTGGAAAGAGTGCTGCGGCCTAGTAGTAGTAGTAGTAGTAGTAATAATAATAATAATAATAATAACTGAAGTACCTCTCCTCTAGAGTAGACCACTTTAAGAATAAGCCTCCTTAAAGTTCACATGCCTGCAGCCGAGCGCCTCTCCTTTAGAGTAAGAAACAGTTTCAAGAACTTGCCTTCTTTAAGTACCTTGGAAAGAGTGCTGCAGCCTAATCATCATCATCATCATCATCATCATCATCATCATCATCATCATCTTTATTTATACCCTGCCACCATCTCCCCCAACGGGGACTCCTTCTCTGGTTTAAAACTGGCTTCTCTGGCTTGAGCCGAGGCCAGGAAATTTCTTCCTTCTCTGGTTTAAAACTGGCTTCTCTGGCTTGAGCCGAGGCCAGGAAATTTCTTCCTTCTCTGGTTTAAAACTGGCTTCTCTGGCTTGAGCCGAGGCCAGGAAATTTCTTCCTTCTCTGGTTTAAAACTGGCTTCTCTGGCTTGAGCCGAGGCCAGGAAATTTCTTCCTTCTCTGGTTTAAAACTGGCTTCTCTGGCTTGAGCCGAGGCCAGGAAATTTCTTCCTTCTCTGGTTTAAAACTGGCTTCTCTGGCTTGAGCCGAGGCCAGGAAATTTCTTCCTTCTCTGGTTTAAAACTGGCTTCTCTGGCTTGAGCCGAGACCAGGAAATTTCTTCCTTCTCTGGTTTAAAACTGGCTTCTCTGGCTTGAGCCGAGGCCAGGAAATTTCTTCCTTCTCTGGTTTAAAACTGGCTTCTCTGGCTTGAGCCGAGGCCAGGAAATTTCTTCCTTCTCTGGTTTAAAACTGGCTTCTCTGGCTTGAGCCGAGGCCAGGAAATTTCTTCCTTCTCTGGTTTAAAACTGGCTTCTCTGGCTTGAGCCGAGGCCAGGAAATTTCTTCCTTCTCTGGTTTAAAACTGGCTTCTCTGGCTTGAGCCGAGGCCAGGAAATTTCTTCCTTCTCTGGTTTAAAACTGGCTTCTCTGGCTTGAGCCGAGGCCAGGAAATTTCTTCCTTCTCTGGTTTAAAACTGGCTTCTCTGGCTTGAGCCGAGGCCAGGAAATTCCTTCCTTCTCTGGTTTAAAACTGGCTTCTCTGGCTTGAGCCGAGGCCAGGAAATTCCTTCCTTCTCTGGTTTAAAACTGGCTTCTCTGGCTTGAGCCGAGCCAGGAAATTCCTTCCTTCTCTGGTTTAAAACTGGCTTCTCTGGCTTGAGCCGAGGCCAGGAAATTCTTTCCTTCTCTGGTTTAAAACTGGCTTCTCTGGCTTGAGCCGAGGCCAGGAAATTCCTTCCTTCTCTGGTTTAAAACTGGCTTCTCTGGCTTGAGCCGAGGCCAGGAAATTCCTTCCTTCTCTGGTTTTAAACTGGCTTCTCTGGCTTGAGCCGAGGCCAGGAAATTCCTTCCTTCTCTGGTTTAAAACTGGCTTCTCTGGCTTGAGCCCAGGCCAGGAAATTCCTTCCTTCTCTGGTTTAAAACTGGCTTCTCTGGCTTGAGCCAGGCCAGGAAATTCCTTCCTTCTCTGGTTTAAAACTGGCTTCTCTGGCTTGAGCCGAGGCCAGGAAATTCCTTCCTTCTCTGGTTTAAAACTGGCTTCTCTGGCTTGAGCCGAGGCCAGGAAATTCCTTCCTTCTCTGGTTTAAAACTGGCTTCTCTGGCTTGAGCCGAGGCCAGGAAATTCCTTCCTTCTCTGGTTTAAAACTGGCTTCTCTGGCTTGAGCCAAGGCCAGGAAATTCCTTCCTTCTCTGGTTTAAAACTGGCTTCTCTGGCTTGAGCCGAGGCCAGGAAATTCCTTCCTTCTCTGGTTTAAAACTGGCTTCTCTGGCTTGAGCCGAGGCCAGGAAATTTCTTCCTTCTCTGGTTTAAAACTGGCTTCTCTGGCTTGAGCCGAGGCCAGGAAATTTCTTCCTTCTCTGGTTTAAAACTGGCTTCTCTGGCTTGAGCCGAGGCCAGGAAATTTCTGCCTTCTCTGGTTTAAAACTGGCTTCTCTGGCTTGAGCCGAGGCCAGGAAATTTCTGCCTTCTCTGGTTTAAAACTGGCTTCTCTGGCTTGAGCCGAGGCCAGGAAATTTCTGCCTTCTCTGGTTTAAAACTGGCTTCTCTGGCTTGAGCCGAGGCCAGGAAATTTCTTCCTTCTCTGGTTTAAAACTGGCTTCTCTGGCTTGAGCCGAGGCCAGGAAATTTCTTCCTTCTCTGGTTTAAAACTGGCTTCTCTGGCTTGAGCCGAGGCCAGGAAATTTCTTCCTTCTCTGGTTTAAAACTGGCTTCTCTGGCTTGAGCCGAGGCCAGGAAATTTCTTCCTTCTCTGGTTTAAAACTGGCTTCTCTGGCTTGAGCCGAGGCCAGGAAATTTCTTCCTTCTCTGGTTTAAAACTGGCTTCTCTGGCTTGAGCCGAGGCCAGGAAATTTCTGCCTTCTCTGGTTTAAAACTGGCTTCTCTGGCTTGAGCCGAGGCCAGGAAATTTCTGCCTTCTCTGGTTTAAAACTGGCTTCTCTGGCTTGAGCCGAGGCCAGGAAATTTCTGCCTTCTCTGGTTTAAAACTGGCTTCTCTGGCTTGAGCCGAGGCCAGGAAATTTCTTCCTTCTCTGGTTTAAAACTGGCTTCTCTGGCTTGAGCCGAGGCCAGGAAATTTCTTCCTTCTCTGGTTTAAAACTGGCTTCTCTGGCTTGAGCCGAGGCCAGGAAATTTCTTCCTTCTCTGGTTTAAAACTGGCTTCTCTGGCTTGAGCCGAGGCCAGGAAATTTCTTCCTTCTCTGGTTTAAAACTGGCTTCTCTGGCTTGAGCCGAGGTCAGGAAATTTCTTCCTTCTCTGGTTTAAAACTGGCTTCTCTGGCTTGAGCCGAGGCCAGGAAATTTCTTCCTTCTCTGGTTTAAAACTGGCTTCTCTGGCTTGAGCCGAGGCCAGGAAATTTCTTCCTTCTCTGGTTTAAAACTGGCTTCTCTGGCTTGAGCGAGGCCAGGAAATTTCTTCCTTCTCTGGTTTAAAACTGGCTTCTCTGGCTTGAGCCGAGACCAGGAAATTTCTTCCTTCTCTGGTTTAAAACTGGCTTCTCTGGCTTGAGCCGAGACCAGGAAATTTCTTCCTTCTCTGGTTTAAAACTGGCTTCTCTGGCTTGAGCCGAGGCCAGGAAATTTCTTCCTTCTCTGGTTTAAAACTGGCTTCTCTGGCTTGAGCCGAGGTCAGGAAATTTCTTCCTTCTCTGGTTTAAAACTGGCTTCTCTGGCTTGAGCCGAGGCCAGGAAATTTCTTCCTTCTCTGGTTTAAAACTGGCTTCTCTGGCTTGAGCCGAGGCCAGGAAATTCCTTCCTTCTCTGGTTTAAAACTGGCTTCTCTGGCTTGAGCCGAGACCAGGAAATTCCTTCCTTCTCTGGTTTAAAACTGGCTTCTCTGGCTTGAGCCGAGGCCAGGAAATTTCCTTCTCTGGTTTAAAACTGGCTTCTCTGGCTTGAGCCGAGGACAGGAAATTTCTGCCTTCTCTGGTTTAAAACTGGCTTCTCTGGCTTGAGCCGAGGCCAGGAAATTTCTGCCTTCTCTGGTTTAAAACTGGCTTCTCTGGCTTGAGCCGAGGCCAGGAAATTTCTTCCTTCTCTGGTTTAAAACTGGCTTCTCTGGCTTGAGCCGAGGCCAGGAAATTCTTTCCTTCTCTGGTTTAAAACTGGCTTCTCTGGCTTGAGCCGAGGCCAGGAAATTCCTTCCTTCTCTGGTTTAAAACTGGCTTCTCTGGCTTGAGCCGAGGCCAGGAAATTCCTTCCTTCTCTGGTTTAAAACTGGCTTCTCTGGCTTGAGCCGAGGCCAGGAAATTTCTTCCTTCTCTGGTTTAAAACTGGCTTCTCTGGCTTGAGCCGAGGTCAGGAAATTTCTTCCTTCTCTGGTTTAAAACTGGCTTCTCTGGCTTGAGCCGAGGCCAGGAAATTTCTTCCTTCTCTGGTTTAAAACTGGCTTCTCTGGCTTGAGCCGAGGCCAGGAAATTTCTTCCTTCTCTGGTTTAAAACTGGCTTCTCTGGCTTGAGCTGAGGCCATGGAATTCCTTCCTTCTCTGGTTTAAAACTGGCTTTTCTGGCTTGAGCCGAGACCAGCAAATTTCTTCCTTCTCTGGTTTAAAACTGGCTTCTCTGGCTTGAGCCGAGACCAGGAAATTTCTTCCTTCTCTGGTTTAAAACTGGCTTCTCTGGCTTGAGCCGAGGCCAGGAAATTTCTTCCTTCTCTGGTTTAAAACTGGCTTCTCTGGCTTGAGCCGAGGTCAGGAAATTTCTTCCTTCTCTGGTTTAAAACTGGCTTCTCTGGCTTGAGCCGAGGCCAGGAAATTTCTTCCTTCTCTGGTTTAAAACTGGCTTCTCTGGCTTGAGCCGAGGCCAGGAAATTCCTTCCTTCTCTGGTTTAAAACTGGCTTCTCTGGCTTGAGCCGAGACCAGGAAATTCCTTCCTTCTCTGGTTTAAAACTGGCTTCTCTGGCTTGAGCCGAGGCCAGGAAATTTCTTCCTTCTCTGGTTTAAAACTGGCTTCTCTGGCTTGAGCCGAGGCCAGGAAATTCCTTCCTTCTCTGGTTTAAAACTGGCTTCTCTGGCTTGAGCCGAGGCCAGGAAATTTCTTCCTTCTCTGGTTTAAAACTGGCTTCTCTGGCTTGAGCCGAGACCAGGAAATTTCTTCCTTCTCTGGTTTAAAACTGGCTTTTCTGGCTTGAGCCGAGACCAGGAAATTTCTTCCTTCTGTGGTTTAAAACTGGCTTCTCTGGCTTGAGCCGAGACCAGGGACTAGAAGGGAAGGAAAGATGAATCATTTCCGACTCACTTCATGAGTCGTAACAAAAATGGCGGAAAAAGCTTTGGAAGGGCAAAGGGACTTCTGGGTTTCTTAAAAACTTCAAAATCGCTTCAAAAAGGTAATTTTTCTGACTTACGAAGATTTTCCAAATTACGAAGATTCTGACAGTCCCTAACCATGCCTAATGGACACATTTACCCTATTTTGACCCACAGGACAGTGGCGGTGGCGGAGGAGGCGGGAAGGACTGGCCGACAATGTACGTCACAACCATCTTGGTAAGGGAACCCTTTCTACAAATGTCCCAACTGTTTCCAACATGCACATCATTGTCCAGGTCATGATGGGTATAAAAGGAAGTGGTCGAGTAGCAGAATGGTTCCGTGCTTTGAGTGCCGGACTCTGATTCTGGGGGGCTGGGTTTGGCTCCCTGCTCAGCCAAGGAAACTTATTGGGTGACCATGGGCAAGACACACACTCTCAGCCCCAGAGAATCCTGTGATAGGTTCATCTTAGGGTCACCATAAGTCGGAAACGACTTGAAGCCCAACAAGAAGAGTAGCAACACGGAGGAACCGGGGGACTTAGGAAGCCAGGAGTGGTTCCCTTAGTTGCTGGAGATACAATGGTGTGATGGAGAGCGATTGAGCAGACTTTGGGAGCCCGTTTGTCTTGACTGCTTCCTAGGAAGACCCCTACGTAATGGCCAAGGGCACGGAGCTGGAAGGCTATTGCATTGACCTGCTGGAGAAGCTGTCGGAGGTGCTGCACTTCAAGTACAAGGTGGGCGTCGTGAAGGACGGGAAGTACGGAACCCTGAATCCCAACGGGAACTGGACTGGGATGATCGGAGAGGTCGTCAGGAAGGTACGTCTCCTCCAGAATTAGCTCTCCTCAAATTAGGAGCAGGTTTATGTACTTGTGTAACGTACAGACATTTCCCGAGTTACAAACATCCAACATCCAACTCCTAGTTGAGAACGGGGGTGAAATAACAGAAAGTGAGAGAAATGTACCGATCAGAAAGGAAATCCACCCTTGAAAGAGTTATTATCCTTGGAAAAGGTGTCTCCACCGAAGGTTTCTCACTAATCCTTGTTTGGGGGGGGGGGGGGGTCTGTGTGCCAAGTTTGGTCCAGGTCTGTCATTCGTGGGGGTCACAGTGGGCTGTGGGTGGCGAATCAGGTGAAGGTACTTCATATCCCATCATCCGTGGCCCATCACCCCCAAACCACATCAGGATGTATAGATGGTTGGGGGGGGAGGCTATCTGTGTGCCAAACGTGGTCCAGGTCCAGGTCCATCATGCATGGGGGTTGCAGTGGTCTCTGAAACTGAGTGAATGTACTGCAAATCCCATCATCCATAGCAAGTGCAGTCCAGATCCATCGTTGGTTGGATTCACAGTGTTCTCTGGATGTAGGTGAGCGACAACTCCTCTAAATCATGGTGAATTCTTCCCAAAGCCCTTGTTCAGTTGTGGATCGAGTCCTGTTTGCTGTGTACCATAGGAATGGGTAGGAAAGGGTTAAGTGAGAGGCAGTGGGGGAGAGAAAGGAACCCTGGGATGTCCATTCTGGAGAGAAAAAACAGAACATCTAGGCGGAAAGGAGTAGCAAGGGGGAAAAGTTAGATGGATCCGCCACACAAAAGTTTTCCCTTCTGCTCTTTTGGTAGGAAGCGGACCTTGCTGTTGCTCCGTTGACGATAACGTCCGTGAGGGAAGACGCCGTGGACTTCACCCAGCCCTTCCTGCACACGGGCATCGGCATCCTGCTTGAGAAGGAGTCTGCCCTTGAGGAGGCCTCGCTCTTCCACTTCCTGACCCCCTTCAGCAAGGAGACCTGGGGCGGCATCGCCATCGCCTACCTGCTCTCCAGCCTCTGCTTGTTCCTGGCTGCCAGGTGAGTGAACCAAGGAAGGCCTCCTCGGCTCCCCAGTGCCAGCTTCTTCATATATAGAACTAGCTGTACCCACCACGTGTTGCTGTGGCCAACCTTCCCTCCCTCTCTCTCCTTCTTTCCCTCCTTTCCTTTTCTTCTTTCATTCTCTCCTTCCCTCCTTCTCTACCTCTTCCTTCCTCCCTCCCTTGTTCTTTTCCTTCCCTTTCTCTCCTTTCTTCCTTCTCTGCTTCCTTCCTCCCTCCCTTCGCTTTTTGCTTACACGCTTCCTTCTCTTTCCCTCCCTCCCTCTTTCCCTCCTTTCTTCCTTCCTCCCTTTTCTTCCTTACTTTTTTTTCCTTCTCTCCTTCCTTCCTTCTCTCATAGAATCCTAGAATCAAAGAGTTGGAAGAGACCTCATGGGCCATCCAGTCCAACCCCATTCTGCCAAGAAGCAGGAATATTGCATTCAAATCACTTTCACTATCTCTTTCCTTCTCCCCTTTTCTTTTCCTCTTTCTCTTTCCTTCTCTACCTCTTTCCTTCCTTCCTTTGCTTTTTGCTTCTATCCTTATTTATTTATTTGTTTGTTTGTTTTTATTATCTATTTACAGCATTTCTATTCCGCCCTTCTCCTCACCCCATAGCAGGGGACTCAGGGCGGATTACAGTGTACACATATATGGCAAACATTCAATGCCCATTTTTGACATACAAACATATACAGACATACACAGAGGCTATTTAACATTTTTTCTGGCCGCCAGGGGAGCTGTCGCTTTCATCGTCCATCTGTGATGCTGATAAAGCACTTCCGCATTCCCCGCATGCTTTTGCTGAAGTCTTTATGGCCTCATAAATTAGTTAATTTAGCCTCCCCACACTTATTTTCCTACTTGACAGATGCAACTGTCTTTCGGGTTGCAAAGGTCGATAACGGGCTACACAATTGGTTGGAAACCCACTCCAACCCAGGCTGGCTTCGAACTCATGACCTTTTGGTCAGAGTGATCTTAATGCAGCTGACACTCAGCCAGCTGCGCCACAATCCCGGTGCACAATCCTTCCTTCTGTCTTTCCTTCCCTCCCTCTTTCTCTCTTTCTCTTCTTCCTTCGCTCCCTCTTTCCTTCCTTACACCTTGCATTCTCTGATGAGTCTCCTTTAGGGCGACACCTTCTGCTGTCAAGAATTCAATGACTGCTCCTTGCTTAAGTCGCATTGACCAACCGTCTGCGCAGGGTTCCATACTTTGCACTTTAACAACACAACCGTTCAATGCTAAGGCTTTCCACCAAAATGGAACTGTAGAGGAGAGTCTACTGAACAAGCCAGTACCTGCCACATACCAGTACTGCCATCTGTTGAGGAGTTACAAAGGTGGAGGCATTACTTTTCATTCAACCCTTGTACTTTGCACTCTAAGAACACAACCGTTCAATGCTAAGGCTTCCCACCAAAATGGAGCTGTAGAGGAGAGTCTACGGAACAAGCCAGTACCTGCCGCACACCAGTACTGCCATCTGTTGAGGAGTTACAAAGGTGGAGGCATTACTTTCTCTGCTAAGGCTTCCTGCCAAAATGGAACTGTAGAGGAGAGACTACTGAACAAGCCAGTACCTGCCGCATACCAAGAGAAGTTTAGGGATCCATCCAAGTTCTTGGGGGGCAATGGGCCATCTCACTGACTATCTCCAGGAGTTCCTTTGTGCCGTGTTAAAGGCGCTGTTGCTTTCTCTCTTCCTAGAATAAGCCCAAGTGAATGGGATGGAGACGATGAGTTCCGTTACACGTTCCTCAACAGCCTGTGGTTCGGAGCAGGAGCATTCACTCTGCAAGGTGAGCCATGCCGCAAAGAGGAGAGCTTACTTGGGAATAATCATAATCATCATCATCATCATAATAATAAGCAGGATTGAAGGAAACAACTGGAAAAGCTGACATGATACGAGGATTTAAAGATTGAACTGCAAGGTCTCTGGCACAAGCCAGTCAAGGGGGTCCCAGTGGTGATGGGCACTCTGGGCGCAGTGCCTCAAGACCTTGGCCTGCACTTAAACACAAATTACCATCTGCCAGCTGCAAAAGGCCACCTTACTGGGATCTGCATGCATTATTCACCGATACATCACACACTTGGGAAGTGTCCGACATGTGATCCGATACAACAGCCAGCAGAGTGTCTGCTGTGGACTCATCTTGTTGTGTTTCTAACAGTACTACTACTACTACTAGTAGTAATAATAATAGACACTTGGGAAGTGTCTGACGTGTGATCCAATATAACAGCCAGCAGAGTGTCTGCTGTGTACTCATCTTGTTGTGTTTCTAATAGTAGTAGTAGTAGTAATAACAACAACAACAGTCCTAGATGCTTGGGAACTGTCCGACGTGTGATCCAATACAACAGCCAGCAGAGTGTCTGCTGTGGATTCATCTTGTTGCGTTTCTAACAGTACTAGTAGTAGTAGTAGTAATAATAGACACTTGGGAAGTGTCCGACATGTGATCCGATACAACAGCCAGCAGAGTGTCTGCTGTGGACTCATCTTGTTGTGTTTCTAACAGTACTACTATTACTACTATTACTAGTAGTAGTAGTAATAATAGACACTTGGGAAGTGTCCGACATGTGATCCGATACAACAGCCAGCAGAGTGTCTGCTGTGGATTCATCTTGTTGTGTTTCTAATAGTAGTAGTAGTAGTAGTAGTAGTAGTAATAACAACAACAGTCCTAGATGCTTGGGAAGTGTCCGATGTGTGATTCAATACAACAGCCAGCAGAGTGATCTTGTCTGCTGTGGACTCATCTTGTGGTGTTTCTAATAATAATAATAATAATAATAATATTATTCGTCAATACATCACAGTCCTAGACACTTGGGAAGTGTCCGACGTGTGATCCAATACAACAGCCAGCAGAGTGTCTGCTGTGGACTCATCTTGTTGTGTTTTTAATAATAATAATAATAATAATAATAATAATAATAATAATAATAATAGTAATAGTAATAATAATAAAATGTTGTGGGGAAGGTGGGATATAGCAAAATGCTCCCTCGCTTGCACGAAGGTACAAACATTTCCTTTGAAGGTCCACTGTGGGAATTCCTGGCCACATTTTTAGGTTGTTTAGAAAATGCTTAAAAAAGAATAAATCCGAAAGCTTGCTTTCCAAAACTTAGCGGCACATGAGTGAAGGGAGACAAAGACCTGGAGGCACTTTGCAAGACACAAGAGGATATGTGCATTCAAAACCTTCTTTTCCCATTTCCCCACACTTTCCTGTTGGCCGCTTACTCCATATCCTGCGGCCTCCTTCCTTCCTTCCTTCCTTCCTTCCTTCCTTCCTTCCTTCCTCCTTCCTTCCTTCCCTCCTTCCTTCCTTCTCGCAGGGGTGATGCCTCAACCCAAATCGCTCGCCATCCGGATCATCTCTGCCATCTGGTGGCTCTTCAGCATCGTGCTCCTGACGGCCTACATTGCCGGGTTCAGCTTCATCTTGGAGTCCAGCTCCGACCAGATCGCCATCCACAACTTTGAAGACCTGGTCAAACAGAGGGAGCTGGATTTTGGGACCATGGAGAGCTCCTCCACACTCCAGTATTTCAAGGTGGGCTTCACGTTGCTCCTTCCTTCTAGGTTACTTGGTTATACAGCAGAGTCTTGCTTATCCGAATGGTCCGGCTGAACGCAAATGTCATCTAATACGGATAAACAAAAATGCCAGATTGTACGGAGTCTCCTAGTGTTACAGGTAGAAGGCGGGGCTAGACACTTGTAATACTAACAACAGGGACTCAAAGGGTTAAGACAAGGCAATGATGATGTGGAGCGTGGAAATCTCAGGGGGAAGGAGGGAGGACACTTCCACTTCTAGTCCTACCACTTTTTCCCCTTTCCTCTCTCGTCCTCTTTGTCTTGCCCTTTTCACTTATTGGGAATGGGGAGAGAGTTGGGGAGCGCTCCTTTAATTGAAAGGGAAACGCTGGAGGAAAAGGGAGGGGGCATCATCAGTTTTATTTATTTATTTATTTAGTACCAAAAGCATTGCATAAATTAGTATAAAACTTATAAAAATAGAAGGAGCACAGGTGGCTAATAGGGCTGGGCAACCACGGAAAAATTTGTTTCTAAACTCGATTCGTTTTTAGGGGGTTTTTGCGTTTCGATTTTTAAAAGAATTCCGAAATTTTCCTTTAGAAAATTTTGTTATTTACGAAATTTCGTAAATTACGAATCAATTACGAATCGATTGCGAAACAATTACGAATCGATTCGTTAATGGCAGGCGCGATCGCGCAATACGCTAAAAAAACCTCCAAATGGGACAAACTTCCCTCTCGCTCTGTTGTTGACTGTTGGTGTGATAATTTAATTTTTTTTTCTCTGAGAAAACAAACAGCAACCCTAAAACTTGCACCAGACATGCGGAAATAATAACGAAACGATTTCGAATCAATTACGAATCAATTTCGAAACAATTACGAAACAATTACGAAACGAATTGAAAAAATTTGTTTCGTTTTTTAGTTGCTCCTGAATGGTTCAATATCGCTTCGTTATCAAAAAAAATAACAAATTAATAACGAATTACGAAATTAACGAACGAAATCGCCCAGCCCTAGTGACTAAATATCTTTTGACCAAAAACGGGCAACAGTGACAGCATTGTCCGTAGCCTCCAACAATTCTTCCTCTGTCCGTGAGGCAGGGCATTGCGGGCAAGCGTGCAGATGCAGAGTTGGTTGTTCTGCTCCACAGCCGCACAAGGAAGGGGGGATTCTTCTAGGTCTGGCCATTGGATGAGACGACAGGAAGTGAGACACATCTACCCCTAGGAAAGGAAATTCACTCCTGGAAGAGTTATTACTGGGGAAAGCTGCCTCCACTAAAGCTTTGTCACCAATCCTTGTTTCCACAACAAGCCACATTTTTGGAATCACAGAACCACTGCTTTACTGGATGAGAGAGCACCAGACATGAGTGAAGCCTTGATGTGACAGCGCGCCTGTCCCCACTTGTATGTGAATTGTTTGGCTATTTACTGCTTTCTATCAAGGTCGCTTGCATCTGTTGAATTGCCTCCCCTGCCTAATTGTTTGGCTCCTCTCCTTCCTGGGAGGAGGGCAGGGCTTTCTTTTCATTCTACCATCAAACATCTCAGCAGATGGACGTGAGAAAGGCTTAGCTCCAAAAGCCCTCAGTTAAGTCATCTCTCTTCACCAATTCTTAAGTTTGCATGCCCAGCTCACCTGGACAACATTGAGGAATCTTAAGCGCCTTCAAACCAGTCCCTTGGCATCAAGAGGAAGACTTTGTGCCTTCAAATATAGGTCATTGGACTGGGGTTGGGAAAGCTCAGGCATTCACAGCCATTGAGAAAGAGGGACCTTGGAAAGCTTCTCAGCTGCAAAACTCCAAAGACTGTAACGTATGTTTTCTTTACCCTGTTGAAATATCAACTTTATGCCTATGGAAGATAACTCATTGTGAACAATAAAGACTATTTTGAGTTATCTATAGTGTCCTGGTCCCTCTCTAAAGGAGGGCAAGAAGCAATCCCCTGGGGAGAGGTGTCCGTCCATATTTCTTCAGACACTGGAACTGGGGAAAAAAATCCAACTGGAAAACTGGTCAGACTGGGCCCATAACCTGATGCAGTTTACTAGTCTATACGGAAGCTACCCAGCAGTCTTCCCAGCTCCAGCCCTTAAGTTGAATCACACAGAGTAGAAGGAAAAAAATAACTTTTACTCTTGAGTAGTCAAATATGCAGCTTTACAAAGAAAACACGCCAGCCTTGGAAATATACATTGTCCATTGCAGAAAAAATAATTTACAAAGTCAATGCATTAAATACATGCATTATCTGCTTCTTTCTTGGTAGTCAGCAATTCTTGTCGTGTAGTCCCATCCGGTCTCTGAACATCTGATCAGGCCTCCTCTCTCTCACACACCATCTTACTCACTGAATACATCAAGAAAGACTTCACCTGATATACACTAATCAGGGAGTGGCTCACACTTAATTGCTTCCTCAACACACACCCACATAGGAGATGATCCTTGTCAAAACTTAATATACAAATCCATATCCTGTAGCACGATAGACCCCAGGCGCAACGGCACACTTGAGTCGCTGGTAAGGCTGAGAAAGACAGTATACAAGTATAGTAAATAAATAAGTAGCTCGTTTTTCCTTGTGCGAGTGACCTGCTTCTCAATGTTGTGGCTGCAGAACTCAAAGAACCCAGTCCAGCAAATGGTCTACGAGTCCATGAACAGAAAGAAGGACACCGTTTTTGCAAAGAACTACCAGGAGGCCATCCAGAGGGTCCTGAATTCGGATTATGCGTTCATTGGAGAGTCCATCTCTCAGGACCTGGCGGTTGCCAGGCATTGCAACTTGGTCCGCTCTCCTGAAGTCATTGGGGCCAGGGGCTTTGGCATCGCCACGCAAAAAGGTAAGGCAACATGTGCCGCAGGTGAAAATCTGATCTGTCTTAAGTTGGCAGTTCCATTTCTTGGGCTTTTCCTATGGATCACTCCTGGGGGGGATAGGGTTTCATTGATTTGTTTATCCTCAGGATCTCCTTGGACCAACAAGCTGTCGGTGGCCATCTTGAAGCTTGGGGAATCGGGTGACCTCGACTACCTGCGCAGCAAATGGTGGGAGAGCCGCTGCTCTGAAGACGACGATGACCACTGGAGCCCCCTGAGACCTCACGCTCTCGGTGGCATCTTCTTGATACTTGCCATGGGGCTTTTATTGGGGTTGATTGTCGCCATGTTTGAGTTGTCCAGGAAAAGCAAGCACAGGGCTGAGCAGGAGAAGGTGAGTGGTGGGCCGCACTTCTTCTCGCTTTCCATGTACTCAAGGCTGAGGGCAAATCATAAGAAAGTGTGTGGATATTTTTGTTGTTGTTCATTCGTTCAGTCGCCTCCGACTCTTCGTGACCTCCTGGACCACGTCAGAGCTCCCTGTTGGCCGTCACCACCCCTCAGCTCCTTCAAGGTCAAGCCAGTCCCTTCAAGGATCCCATCCATCCATCTTGCCCTAGGATATAAAGATAATGAAAGGCTTCAACTTCTCCACAATCTGACTTCTATATTTTCCTTTATGATGATAACAAAGCCTTCTGGACAAATGTGAGATAGTCTCCTTAGGGTCCCCCATATGTTGGAAATTACTACTTTGGTAGACAGATGTCAAAACCTAATGCCATTCACCATAATTGCGACACATACTCCGAGGGGAATATCTCATTTAGTACCGTCTACTTCATCAATGTGTTGAACAACAACACAGCCAAAATCCAACCATGTCGATTGTGTAAGACTGTAGGATCTATATAGCAATATTAAATGATCACTCACAAGCCGGTTTTGCTTGGAAATGAATATATTGCTTGTTTCTCCACAGCAAAGAAAGACACTACGGACTTTTCCCCACCACCACTTCCTTTTATACACCTTTGCTGCCCATCTCCCCCCTCTTCTCCGTTTCCTTATTAGAACTTGTTGCTTCACAAGTCCCAACACAAGGTTTCCAGCGCCTTCTGCTGGCTTCAGAATGTCACAGAGAGAAAACTAAGGCAGCCAGGATGATTCAATCAGGATGTCAGGAGGGAATTTGTGATGTCTTCATGCCGTCAGAAATTGACTCCTGACAGTTTGCCATCAATGTCCATGAAAACATCCATGTAGATGTTTATGTGGTCTTTAAATCAATCTGTGGACTTGGACATTGATGGCAATCGATGTGGTTGGATTTTGGCTGTGTGATTGTTCAAAAGTAAGTATTTCCAACATATGGGGGACCCTAAAGCAACGGTCTCACGGATGTTTCTCGGCACCATCTCTCCAGAAGGCTTTGCTATCATTGACTCATTCTGAGGATGGGACACCATGCCTTGCCGAAGGCTTCCATGGCCAAGCAGGAGTTGAAACCTCTGCCACCTAGGCCCCATCGGCAAGCTTCCAGCTGTGGTGGCCAAATCACAAACCCTTCCAAAAGCATGAGAACGAAAGCCTTTACTTGTTATGTTGTTTACCAGCTGTACCTGCCACGCATTTCTGTGCCAACCTTCCTTCCTTCTTTCTCTCCTTCCTTCCGTTTTCTTTCCTTCTCTCCTTCCTTCCTTCTCTTCTACTTCTCTTCCTCCTCCCTTTCTTTTCCTTCCTCTTTTTCTTCCTTCTGTACTTATTCTTGGAGTGCAATTCCCAGCAATTCTCCTGATGGATCTATCTACCTACCTATCTAGCTCTATCTAATTATCTATCTGGAGGACTGCTGGGAGTTGCAGTCCAGAAATAGGAAACTGGAAATCTGCAGGGATGGGGAGGCTCTCAAAGAAATCCAAGGAGGAGAAATCTTGCAGCTTGGAAGCAATGCATTTGGATCCCCCTCATTTCCTGATCTAGGGGATGGTGGGAGCTGTAGTCCAGAAGAAAGTGTGGATGTGCTATTGTGTGTGTTTTTTGTCAGGGCGAGTCGTTTTTGTGCATGCTGTAGTGTCTTTTTTGCTTTTTTGGCTTTTTAGGTCCCTTCTGCTGTGTTTTTAAGTGTTTTTATGAGTGATGGTCACTCGTTGGCCTGAGAGGTGTCTTGTGTCCAAATTTGGTGTCAATTTGTCCAGTGGTTTTTGAGTTATGTTAATCCCACAAACAAACATTACATTTTTATTTATATAGATTTGCTTTGCTGTAATTGATGGGCTTGGCCTCATGTAAGTTGCCTCGAGTCCCCTTTGGGGAGATGGTGGCAGGTTATAAATAAAGATTATTATTATTATTATTATTATTATTATTATTATTATTATTGACACAAAAGCACAGTATGTCACAGCAAACGAGATCTCTATGCTGGATTTCTTATCACAAATTCACAAGTTGAATTTGTGTCTAGGACTGTGTGGTGTATTTTTGAATGATGCGCACAGATCCAAGTCAGGTGGCCTTTGGCAGTTGACAGTTATTATTATTATTATTATTATTATTATTATTATTATTATTATTATTAATGTACTCATTGGTCTATGGTTTGCATTGTTACCATTTGGGTCTCAAACTGGTTCCAGAGTTTTCTATGTCAGCGTCACTTTCTTCAACACCAGTTTGAAACTGCATTAAGTGTGGAGTCCTTGCCCCACACCCAGACCATTGCACCCTGTTGGCTCTCCCAAATACCCGCTTCTTTTCAGCAATAAGCTGTAAAAGGCTTGCTCTTCGGACAGGCATATTGTGATGAATGTGGCTTTTCGTTGTATTGGCTGCACTACAGCGGTCCCCTTTGCAGTGTCCTTTCTCTGGCTTGATGGACATCCGTTGTTAATGCTTGTATTTGCATGACTTTTGGCTGAATTGAATTACATTTCTGTGGCTTGTCTGCAACCTGGTGAGTTTTTTGTCCTGGCCCATTCGGTTTAGCATATGCTTGCCAGGAACGGATTCTCTTATCCGCAGTCAGTTAGACCGAGGCGGATCAGCGCTATTGGTACTCTTGGACCTCACAGCTGCATTTGACACCGTGGACCATGACTTGCTGATTCATCGATGTACGATGAATGGTGTACGAGGAGGTTTAGCCCTGAAATGGTTCAAGTCATTCCTCCGGGACCGGAGACAGAGGTGGAGTGGTCAGGTCAAAGCTCTGAGAGCTCCTGCCTTGGCTGTGGAGTGAGTTCCCCAGGGTGCCATCCTCCTCTCGCCCCTGTTATTTCACATCTACGTCCGGCCACTTGCTGGACTGGTGCGGAGCTTTGGCCAAGAGTGCTACCCGTATGCAGATGATACCCAGCTACGCTTGAGTCTCGAACCTGAGACAACCACCGTGATTCCTGAGAACTTGAGGCTGTGTTTGGAAGCAGTGATGAGATGGCTGCGAGCAAGCAGACTCAAAGTGAATCCTGCAAAAACGGAGATCCTCTGTCCCGGCCAGCCGCCAGAATTAACCCAGTCACTGCCTGATTTCGATGGGGAAGCTCTGGTTCCGCCTGCCCCTGTTCAAAGCCTCAAAGGGGTTGTGTTGGACTCATCACTGATGATGGAGGCCCAGATCACGGCCAGAAGGAAGCAGGCCTTTTTCCATCTTCTCCAGGCAAGGAAATTGGCATCCGACCTTTCAGTAGAAGCACTGGCAACGGTCATCCATGCCACAGTCACCACCAGGTTGGACTATTGCAACGCCTTATATGCCGGCCTTCCAAAGTCAACGACCCAGAAGATTGGGATGGTGCAAAATGCGGTGGCCAGGCTGCTAGCGGGATCATCTCTAAGATCCCACATGACACCGATTCTGCAACAACTGCATTGGCTACCAAGAGAACATCGGATCTCTGACAAGATCCTGATCCTGACCTTGAGAGCTCAACATAGCCAAGGACCTTTCTCTCTCAGGGACAGCCTCATTCCTTTTCCCCATCCGTGGTCACCTCGATACACCCAGGAAAATCTCCTCTACATCCCGGGCCCGAGGGAGGGAGGCACATTTGGAAGCTACAAGGCGTAGAGAGCTTTTTCGACCGATGCTCCAATCCTGTGGAACTCATGGCCTCCATACGTTAGAGCAATGTCGGACCTCAAGACTTGGCTGCTTGGTTGTGCATTTAAGGCATCAGATCTAATTTGCCAAATAGTCACTGTTGAATGTTTTTATGTGGAATGTTTTTATATTGTGTAAATGCTATTATAGACTGTAAGTCGCTCGGAGCACCTTGAGGGAGAGCCACTAACTAAGAAATAAAGGGAAGTGAAGGCCTAGCTTATCCACTGCATATTTAACAGCATTATAGCTTAATAATAATAATAATAATAATAGTAATAACAATAATAATTTGTCTCCTCCTTCCGTAGAAATCCTGCTGCCCTTTGTTCACAGAGGAGCTGAGCCAACGGTTCCAAAACAGAGGAGAGCGGAGGCAAGAAACGGCCGGGAAAACAAAGCCCTGAAACGACACAGCAAGCCCAAATTGTGATGGACTCTTCTTTCTGTTGCCATTCCCCTTCCCATATATTCTGTAGCAATGCTCTCTTATACTTTGCATAACAGTATGACGTAACTAGGTAACCTTTTTGGGATAACACAAAATTTTGGGGAGACTCCTAACTAACACTTTTAGTGTGTCGTTTTAGCCATTTCTGCAGCTCTTGACCAGCATCACAGTTGTTCCTTTGTGAAGACAAAGCGTCGAAGAAGCCAACGCTGTGGACCTGGCAAGACGTGTGTTTATGGGCCGCCTGTAAAATCAAGCTACTTGTCTTTGTTAAAGTTCGCATTCCTAACCCATAACGGCGTGAAAGCATTACCGTATGAAAATACAGAAAGTAAACTCGAAATGTTGGGGTGTGTTTGTGCATTTCTGTGGCTTCTGAAACCACTTGGACTCCCCATAGCTGCAACCGGTGCAACCAAGGCGATATTCGGGCGGAGAGGGCATCCCACCAAGTCGTTTTGGGGGGCTTTCTTTCCGTCCTGGGCGCTGGGTAATATCGGCTGCTGCGCAAAAAAAGCGTGGGCTGATCTTGCTATCGTCGGAGCAGCCGTTCTCGTTCCATGAATTCCCGGGGCAAAACCACACATATACACAAATATATATACACACAAAACACATATACACAGACTGAGCCACAGCAATGTGTGGCAGGGGACGGCTAGTATATCTATATGAATAAAAATGTCGTGTTTGTTTGTGGGATTGACATAACTCCAAAACCACTGGATGAACTGACACCAAATTTGGACACAAGACACCTCTCAGGCCAATGAGTGACCATCACTCATCAAAACAACAAAAAACACAACAGAAGGGACTGAAAAAGCCAAAAAACAAAAAAAAACATTACAACGCATGTGCAAAACCACCTATATACACAAACACACATATATACACAAATATATACACACACATATATGCATATACACATACACAGAATATACACAAACACACATATATACTCATATACACAAATATATACAGACACATATTTGTGTATATACACACACAAAACACAGAATATACACAAACACACATATCTATATAAATACAAATGTAATGTTCGTTTGTGGGATGAACATAACTCAAAAACCACTGGACGAATCGACACCAAATTTGGACACAAGGCACCTTTCCAGCCAACGAGTGACCGTCACTCACAAAAACACTGAAAAGCACAACAGAAGAGACTTAAAAAGACAAAAAAAAGTACATTACAACACATGCCAAAATCACATATATACACATATACACAAATATATACACACACACAAAACAAATATACACAGAATATACACAAATATATACACACACACATATGTATATATACACACACAAAATATGCACAGAATATACACAAACACACATATAAACACAAATATATACACACATATGCGTATATGTACACACAATACACATATACACAGAATATACACACACATATATATGTATATATACACACACAAAACACATACACAGAATATACACAAACACAAATATATATACACACAATACACATATATACGGAAAGGGAGAAGGGAGGAGAGAAGGAGGGAGAAAAAGAGGGAAAGAAGGAGAGAAGGAAAGAAAGAAAGGTAGAGAAGGAAGGAAGGAGAGAAGGAAATAA